TTATTTTATGTATCACATGACTGAATATAAATATCCAGAGCAACAACAGATGGACAAAGAAGACATTACAGTAATGCTCATTGGAGCAGTAAAGTCTGCTTTCATCCAATATTTTAAAGTAAGAGCCAGCCCCTCTGGTGTTGTATGTAGAAGCTCAGGGAATCATTACCATGGCCTCTGCATAACCTCCATAAGTCAGGTTAGTGTCAATAACCTGGGCTTTAAAAATTGATAAGGGTGATCACCTCGCTCATGGAAAGACCATTTCTGAACAGCAGACGTCCCTGTGAGGTGATTCTCATATATAAGTCATGCCTCACATTCAGGATGCATCACTCTGAATATCGCTTCAGGACAGTCATCTTCTCTGTGTTTGGGCCTTATCAACATATTGCTCACCAGAGAGGCCCGGCAGATGATTGAGAGAAACTATTAGGCTTAGATCATTCACGGATATTGCTGCACACCTCAATGCTTTTCTGTTTGATTTACCTTTAAGCAGAAATAAATCTGACAATTTAACGGCTGATACGATACAAAGTGCTCTGGAAACTCTTGTTAAACAATTATTCATATGCGGGGCTGACCTCCATCGCACGCAATGAAACATACATGATCTGGCAGTTCTGCGTGACATATGTTAATGTGTCCGATCAAAATGCCAATTTGGAGAGTCCAGCTGAGTGCTCTAAAGAAATCTTTCCTGTTTGACATGTGGAAATGTCACAGAGCTGCATTTATTCATGTGAACATTAGAGACACATTCCTGTCCCGAGGCCCCCGGAGACAAAAGACGTGGAACTCCCCAGAGGAGAGTGACCTGGAGGACAGACTCTCGCATACCAGCTGGACTGGACGCAAATAGTCTCTCCCACACACACTCACACACACACACACACACACACACACACTGCTGAGACCATCTCTGCTGCTTTACTCCTCATTTACATCACAGTTGGTATAAAAAGAGCTGGCGATCTGTACGGCGTTTTAATTCTGATATGATGTGCCAAATGAGTCACACATAGAATATACATCATGTTCAGAGGACATGGATGAGCATTGATCCCACCACTCCTCTCCTCCAGGCCCAACGGGACGAGTGCAATAAATCTATGAGTGACACGTAATTGGACGCATTGCATCTGTGTAAACATCAAAGTGGCCCGAGGAAAGACTTCTGCCATAAAGTGTTTGTTTAGAGGAATAATCTGCCACATGAACAGGCTTCGGTGTCTTTATTGTGTCTTTACATGCAACACACCTTTCATAACTGACCACTGAGTTAATAATTTTTCAACAGAATAAATACTGGGGCACTTTTCCCTGTATAAATACACAATTCACTTGTTGTGTAGGTCTACAAAGGCTCAGCACAAGGCAGCAATAACTATATGTTGCTGCCACCTAGAGGACATAAGGAGGAAATCATTCGTTCTCATCAGAGAATACTCTGCATGTTATTATTTCTTGTTTTATTTGCCATCTTTTTGTATACAACTTGAATATAATAATTTAATACGTTTGATTACAATAACAGATTATGAATAGATAGATAGATAGATAGATAGATAGATAGATAGATAGATAGATAGATAGATAGATAGATAGATAGATAGATAGATAGATAGATAGA